TCTACCGTTACTAGTAATAATACTTATAATACCACTACTCCTACTCATACCGCTACTACTAGTACTACCATTACTACTGCGGCTGCTGCTACTTCTTCTACCAATGATAATACTAATAATGCTACCATTGTCAATACTAATATTGCTACGAATTCTACCACTCCTACTAATACTGCTACTTCAACTACTGTTACTACCATTACTACTGCGGCTGCTGCTACTACTTCTACCAATGATAATACTAATAATGCTACTATTGTTAATACTAATATTGCTACGAATTCTACCACTCCTACTAATACTGCTACTTCAACTACTGTTACTACCATTACTACTGCGGCTGCTGCTACTACTTCTACCAATGATAATACTAATAATGCTTCTATTAATACTAGTATTGCTACGAATTCTACCACTCCTACTAATACTGCCACTTCAACTACTGTTACTACCATTACTACTGTTACTACTAACAATAATAATACTGATACTACCGTTACTAATAATGAAAGTACCATCACCACCAATAATAATAATAGTATCATAAATAATAATACTGCTGTTACCGTTACTACTATCACTGACAATACTACTAATAATGCTACTGTTACTACTGCTACGACTACTAACACTAATAATAGCAAAAGTAATATTGCTACCACCATTACTACTTCTATCAGAATTTTTCAAAAGCATCTATACCCCAGAATCAGCTCTCCAACGCTTGTCTCTGTCACATTTCGTCAACAACCCACTTATCAATACAGCACCAAATTTTCTAGACTGTAATGCGCACTTGAAATCGTTTCATTTCCTCAAATACGACAGTACGCCTTACAGATTGATCGATTCTCGTTGCTGACTTCGAAGCGAGTTGGTTTGTGGTACAAGCGCGGCTTTAATCCGCAGTCAGGAGCATCATGAATTAATGTGTAAACTGCGCTTCACCATAGCATTCCAATGTGGGTGTATATGGACCCCAAAATAGTGCCTATTATGAGACACGCTTAAGACGCCGACTTTAAAGTCAAGGCTGTCAGTTACACAGTAGAATAGAGCAGCTGCGCAAGAATCCAACATGACTAAATCTTGGCTATTATGAAAAGTCAGTTTATATGGCAAAAATGTTTTCGACAATCCTTTGGCAGACCATTGAATTCACAAAACAGTTAAAACTGTGGAAAAATCAATAGTTTTCTGACGTGGGCGCCGATGGGTCACTTCGGACTATGTCAGTCTGCGCAAGTAGGCAAGATCGACGTGTTGGATGAGCAACTGCCACTAGTGGATGGCGGCAATGTCCTATCGTCACCTGGCGTCGACGTCGGCAACGGAATGGACAGGGTTTCTGTTAGAGTTTTCTGATAGCACAATATTGGATTCGTTAGGTGTATAGCCACTGATTCAACTGTTGCAAACACCCGTTGGCATCGGCCTTTGGAGAAGTTGTTTGGTGTCCACCAGACAACCCACATCACAAAACTATTGATTGTTCTACATGGTAAGACGCCACATGGGGTGGGCTAGGTATAACTGGCTAATAACCCAGAAATGACCACTCCAGTTTCGCTTGTCTTTGCCAAACCCCCTAATACTTTAGTTATTAGTTTATTATTTAGTTTTAGCAGTTTTAGTTTAATTGAGTTTTTAGTTCTGTATCGCATAAGCCTGAGTTTTTTTGGTTTTTACAGTGGTGCTGTTTGCAAGGAATCTTAACCCCTTTTTTAAATTATAAAACATACTTCACAGTTTCGGTTGACATTTCATGAGATAGAAGGAGCTGTAAAATTGAGTTGAAGGACCCCTCTAGATATCTATCCCCCCCGTCCAACAGCTTAACGTATTTCCAATAGAGGAGAAATCCGAGTTCCAGGTGAAGAAGAAGCGATCCCTGGAAGAAGAGTTTTATTGTCCTGACGTTTCGGATTCCGTCGGGAATCCTT